CGATATGTAGAGTCTTATGTGTACCTTGGCACCAACGTAAATGCAAAATGGGAACAGACCATAGAAATTAAGGCGAGAATAGAACGAGCTAGAGCAGCATTTAGCAATATGAAAAAGCTCCTCATTAGCAAGGATTTGTCTCTTCCCCTAAAACTACGTATAGTTAAATGCTACATTTTTCCGATCTTGCTGTATGGCGTGGAGGCCTGGACGCTGACGGAGACGCTAACGAGAAAACTAGAAGCATTCGAAATGTGGGTGTACCGACGCATTCTTCGTATATCCTGGACCGAACATGTCACCAACATAGAGGTACTCCAAAGAATCGGAAAGGAGAAAGAAAACGTGAATACAATTAAACAAAAAAAGCTTGAATATCTAGGCCACATATTGAGACACGATAAGTACCGTCTGCTACAATTGATTGTCCAGGGAAAAATAGACAGTAAGCGAGGGCCAGGCAGGAGAAGACACTCGTGGGTCCAAAATCTGCGGAAGTGGTTCGGGCTCACATCGGTCGAACTATTCAGAAGCGCCGCAAACAAGATCAAAATTGCCATGTTAATAGCCAACGTTCGCAACGGACAGGGCACTTGAAGAAGAAGAAGTACGATATGTTTATCCAATAGCTCCCGAAGACATGATGGAAAAGTTGGCCGTTCAAACGTTTATTGATGGTCTTCGTGATCATGAAATGCAGAGAACACTACGATTAGCTCGTCACAAGACACTGGTTGATGTCTCATCCGCTGCCCTCGAATACGAGTCAGCTACGCAGGCCTCTGGCGGATACAGTAAAGTTAGGACTGTAAAAGAGGAAGAAGATGAAGATAAACTTGACCAGCTCGTTAATATGATGAAAAGCATGACACACAAGACAACGAAGACCATAAGACCGAAGACAAAACCAGAACGGGTCGGCCTTAGGGGGGCAGCTTCGAACTAGAACTTTTCCAAAGACCTTCTCATACTAATAGCTTCTTTGAAATGTCATGAAGATAGTGTATATGTAGATGGAGAAATAAATGGTCAAAAGCATACGTTGTTGGTGGATACTGGAGCGACCAGAACCATTATACGCCCGACAGTTATAAACAGCCGTAAAAAACTGTTACCAACGAGGTTGCGACTTTAGACCGCTACGGGTGAAAATGCCAACATTCACGGAGAAATCCAGATACAATTAGGAATTGGAGCAGAAAAGTTCGTCCATACTGTTATAGTTGCTGGCATCGAAGAGGATGTTATATTAGGAATGGACGTAATGAATACGCATGGATTTCAATTGGATTTTAAGAATAAGGTAATCAAAGTTGGTAACGAGGAGGTATTTCTCCATCCACATGATGACAACACTACACATCCACAAGATACAGTCGTGCCTGCGAGAAGTGAAACGATAATAGTAGCGCGCCTACAGGGAATTGTGGTCGAAGGGACACCTGTTATGATAGAACCTTGGAACCATGACGACGAATTCATCCGTGGAATCATAATTGGAAAGGAATTGGTAACTTCGGCTAAAGAAATTCCTGTGAGACTTATCAATGTCAATGACTACCCAGTGACCATCAAGAAAGAGCCAAAGTAGGAACTTGTGTACCTGTGACATCCATAATGCGTCAGACGACAACGTCTGATAATTCCAACGACACATTTGACCAAATGGTTGCAGTTGCTGGACAGTCTCTGAATCAGATTAAGAAAAGCAAATTAAGGGAATTTCTTCGGATCACAGAGGATGTCGAAAGCTCGGCAAAATGGATATCGACGCGGTTCAACCGGAAGACTGGTGAGTTTAATATTAATTTTTGTAATAGTATTAATCTTAGCTCTAGGTTTCATATATATATATATATATATATATATATATATATATATATAATATATATATATATATATATATGCAATAAAACCAATTTTAGATTTTAAAAGACGTCAACAGTATCAAACATTTTGTTGCAAAAAAAAATGTTTAAACAGCTCTACTGGAAAACTACGTTTTTTGAGTTGTAACCAACCCTCTTCTTCCGCATGGTCGATATATTGTGTAGTAATTATGTAAAATAGTTTTCTTAACGATTTTTGTATACCCAGTTTTCCTTTCATAATATATATTATTACTTACATGTTCTCTATTATAAAATAAACAAGGAGTAAATCCCAGAGTTGGACAGTTAATTTTAAAATAAACCGTATCAAATTGATAAATTGTATGAGTCGTTTGATTACATACAAATCATTAGATACCGTACGGAGAACTTACCTACCAAAACAATTTACTTGTGGACCTTAATCTAATTGCTTATAATGACTTAAAATTGCTCACATATACACTTCACTTTATTCCTCTAAGTCATTATTATATAATAACAAGTCATTGTGTGACTCACCGAATTTATCGTTAGTGCATTGTATAAACAATAATAAGGGAAATCCGAACAAGGAATTAATTCAAGGACTGAAGGACAAATATTTCTCTGTCCGTCCCAATGCTTTTGTAATATAATACTTCATATCTTGCACTTAACAGTATTTTTTTTTTGGCCTTAGGTTCAAGACCTATTTAGTCAGACAATATAGGTTGAATATATAAAAAAATCTCCTACACTTCCTTAAAATTCATGACAATTTCCTAACCGTTCGTTCATTCGCACCACATTCACTCAATTTCCTAACCTTCCCATTGAAAACACTATTGGGTGACTATACAAAGAGAATTGAACAGGAACACATGCTTCACGCTAAGGTGCCCTTCATAGCGATTTTTTTTAACACAAACAATACAGGCAACGGTTAAAGGTAAATGACATAAAAGAATAGACAATGGGAAATACAACAACTAACGCACTTAACAGTATTTCCTGCTCTTTCTTATTATTTCTTGTTCTTCTCATCACGTCAGATATTGCTAACCTACGTCAGTCATTGTTAGAGCATTCATGTATTCCATAAAAAGTACGTACCTCTGGCAGGATACGGGCAACAATACAGGACAATATAATATTTTAGGTACAAACCACTCAGTCATCCTCAAGTAGTCTCCTCCTCGATAGTCGCTATACGTAATGCCAATATATCATTATATTTTTGTTGTGATGTAGGTATTGGACTTCGTGATACCAGTTGCAAATATTTTGGCAATGTAAGGTGTCGCCTTCCTTTCTTCGCGAAACCTAACAAGGTTAATCTCCTGGTTTTCATCATGAAAATTATTTTTCAAAAACAGAGTTCCCTTGCTGTTTTATTTTTTTTTATAGTTGAACACAGTTTGACAGACGAACTTGTTGTTTGTTGATGTCTCTTTTTCTATTAATAAAAGGCGGATTTTGAGATGTTTTCACATAGTACAAAGACCTAAAACTTTTAAAATCTTCTAGTTCCATATTATGCAAGGTATATTTATGCAAGGGCTTTAAAATAGACATGTTTTCTCTTTTGCTCTATCAGCGCATGGACAGTATCCGCATCATTTGGGTGTGACCCTTTATAAGAAACTTCTGAGTAATGATTTTTACTTGAGGATACTTATTGAGTATCCAGAAGAAACACATAATAATGCTAATATTTTTATTCTGGCCGTAGAAATTGTCTGACCATAGTAAATTTCTTCTATCTCACTGCTATTCACGGTATTTGCCCATTTCAGTGTCATGCAGATCCGATTTTACTTCCACCACGAGCCCTTTTGGATCCACCCCACATAATCCAATGAACTAATGAATCAGAAGAATTATCATCATCATCATCATCATCATCATCAACTAGCCTCTAAGGTCCACTGCTGAATATAGTCCTCTCGCGTGCTTTTCCACTTAGTCCGATTTTGCGCCATCTGAATCCAATTTGTAGTCACTCCTTTTATGTCATCTGTCCATCTCGTTGGGGGTCGACCTCTATTTCTGTTAGCTTGTATTTGCATTTACTGCATAACTGTTGTTCTTGTCAGTTTTAGGGTTTCTGCGCCGTAGAGATGGAGTAACCTCTTTTGAACGGCATAAATTATATAATTGGGTCAATGCTTTCAATACTGTCTTTCCTCCTGCTTTAACTGCCTCAATAACGATTTGGCCATCACCAGCTGCTTTATTGTTTTTCATTTGATTTAATGGCGAATCATACGAGATGTAATTTAAAGTTCAAAGTTCTCTTGTTAAAGCTTAGTAATTTATTAAAATGGTGGTGGCAAACATTTTTTGCAGATCACCAGTTAATACCTTGAGAGTATTGTTAACCTTTTTGGTGTCCTCGCTTATCAAATCATATTTTAATTTAGATTCATCCAGATGTGCAATATGATCCTCTTCAACAGATTTTTTTGCATCTGAAGTCAAATTATTTTTCACTTTTTCTTTAAATTAGTCACATGTGTCTATTTCTGGTGGTTTGAAAGTCAACTTAAATTTTTGTCCATTATTTGATTCTAAAATAAAACAGGGCTTATATTATTGTTTGTAAAAGATTTAATAATATTACTAGTCTAATCTATATTTTAAACAATGTCTATATCTAATCTAAGACTATGGTATGCATAGCGCCATTGAGAGGGAACAGGAAAAATATTTTTATCAAAGTTAGGTCTAAACGAGACATAAAAAAAAGGACCCTTATGTAGTCCATGAGCTACAATATTCAACTGGAAACTACTTGCTAAAGATATGTCAAAAGACACAAAACTAAATAAATCTGGTGAAATCAAATGTAATTACTGTTGTGGTATCTTTATTCTTGGCTGCATCTTCCTTCATTCCATTTCGAGCTACTTTTGCCTTCCGTAGGTGTAACTCTTTTTCTGTTTCCATTCTGCTTTTTTCTACACCTACACCTATTTGCAAGTATCAGTGAGAGGATAACAGAAATGAAGATTAAGATCTTCATTAAATATTATGTTCATTAAATATTTGTTGCGGCTGTAGTGGGATGTATCTTTGATAAATTAGTTAATGAAATCTTTTATATTTTGAATATACGTTTCCCTTGTCTTATTCTTAGGGGGGTGCTCATCTTTTATCCAGGGGCGGAATGATTAATTCGCCACCTCTTGATTTGCTTATTAAAGCTCTGGTGATCCTTCCATCTGAAACTTGTAGAGCTTTTTTAAAAAATGATTTGCAAACAGGTACTATATCACCTATTTTTTTCGGTAATGTATGAATTTGTGTCTTAGAACGTTTATTATGATTTTGTGCTGCTGTATGTCGACCTTTATTGATAACTATTTGACATATTTGAATGTAAGCAGTCTGTAAATTAAAATTAGATAAGTTGTAGAAACTTTGGAAAATATTTTTTCTTTTTTCAAGAGATAACAACAAACGACACTTTCGTGGACAGCTACAAACTCCATGAAAAAATTGTTTCTCAGACACAATTCTACCACGAGAATTCAAATATAATTTTTCTGAATTTCTTTCCAATTTAGACTTAGATCTTTTCCAAACTGACTTATTTTTCTTACGTTTTTTACCCCTACTTAATCCAGGTTCATTTCCAAACTATAACAAAAATATTCTCTAATTCAAGTAATTAAATGTTTTTAAGTTGAAGATTAATCTATACTTTTTGCAACATCGCTTAGAAAGTCATAGACATATTATAGATATTACATATCTATGTAGAAAACGAGCCTGCTTTCTTCATATTAAGGCAATAATTTTAAGGTTATAATCTTAAAAATTTAGAATCCTAATTTAAATTTTGAGCCGAGATTTACAATCAATATTAATTTACACTATTAATATAAAATACAATAATTTACTCACCGTTACTCAATATGGCACAAACAATAAATCGTATAAATGGCTGATACTACTTTAAAAAACGAATTAACGCTAGCAAGACTGATACAAACACACAAGACAAGGGTGAAAATGTCTAAAATATCATACTGCACACTGGATCAACTGTCACTTGGGCTACATTTCCATAACTAAATCATATGAAATGTTTACCTAACTGTACAACTCGTACCATCTTTTAGTATGCAGTAAAATGCAGTTATTTGAGCCGCTTTGAAATGAAAGATATGATAAAATCTCACCTATTGTATTACCTATCTGAATGATAAAAAAAAATCAGTTGGGACACTCTGCTTCTGAGCGACTCATTTATAATGATGGATTTCAGACAACCTTACTACTAACATGTTTGTTTTCCCAGACCTATTATTTTGGACTTAGTGACTTTTGCCGCGACGATGACGACATACAACGGCTGAAATTCACATGTAAAGAGGGTTAAAACATCAAATCCACATGGTATTCTATCACTATTAGCAAATGGTTTAGGACCTAATGCTCTATTCCTTTAAATAAAGTGATAAAAGTTGATTATTGGTGGGTAAAAATGACAAAATTGAAAAAATGGACACAGTGTTGTATCTCTCTGAGGTACAGACGTATTCTTTTTCGTCTTTTTTTTTCTATATAAAATAAATCTCACAGAACTGTCGAAACAATATTGTAAATTTTCTAATAGAAACGCGTTCACCAGTTGAAATTTAATTAAATAATTGTATCTAAAAGTAAATTGATATTATATAAATTGATATATCGCTAATAATCGAGAGTGGTTGGTGAGATAGAAATTATAAATAAAAAAATATTGAGATATTTCTATATATTTTTGGGATCTAAATTTTTTCAAATAAAGATCTTTAGTTTATTTTCATTTTATCGGTCCTTCTCGTGTACGCACAGCCACATCCTTTTACATAGGCTAGAAATGGTCAAAGTAGTGTGTGACCTATATATTTCAATCACTTTTAAGTACATGATTACCTTGAATCCGCCGGAATATATACTCCCGAGTAAATTATTTTTCTGGTACTGCTTAATATTGATTTGTCCATATTTGAACACCGGATCAATCTGTGCTTAATCTAGATAAAGCTTACAATGGTATTGGTGTTAAGCTTATAAAACGCTAATACGTAGCGGTGTCTGTTTAATACATTAAAAACTCCTTTCTTAAATTTAATACAAATACATACACCAAAAATGTCTAAGGAACACCATTATTATTCCACTTTTTTTAATAAAAATTTTAAAACTTTTTTGTTAATACATACCATTCGATTTGAGAACTTGTTCTCTACAAATCAAGATATGCCATGTAAATTAATCTGTCAATTGCACTGGTTTATTAGGTCAAAGGTGACAGCGCGTCAAATTTGTGCGATTAATTGTTTTAAATTGCAAAGAAAAAGTGCTTCAAATTTTAAAGATATAGTCTATATTTAATTCGGCATTTAACATTTTATAGTCGGCATTTAACACATGTTCAAATGGTAAGTTCTGTTTCTGATTCAGGATTCTGGATTCTTACACAAGCTGATGTTGTACGTCATTTTTGACGTGTCTCAGAGCGTGATTTCGCGGTTGTGGCGTCGATATGAACTATTTGGTAATGTTGAAAGACATGGGCGTTACAACCCTTCGTGGGTTTTAGCCGACTCGACAACATACCTCCACTGTTTTCTGTCTTGAGAAACCTCCATCCAATTTCTATTTATTTCTTTTATCATATTGGCGTCTGGGTAAAGAACTTAGAGCTCTTTGTTAGTTCTTATCCTATATTGACCTGATGCTTCATCCAGCACAGGACCAGAGATCTTCCTTAGGATTTTCCTAAACACATAGTCTCTCTTCGTTTGCCTTTGTTATTGTACACGTTTCGCTTTCATATATCACAACGGGTCGTATGATTGTTTTATAGACCTGTATCTTCGTTGGAATGGAATGCACAAATTGGGGACTGTCGATAAATATCGATAAAACTAAATACATGGTGACCAGTAAAGTGGATATCGGCGCAACCCAACTGATATTAAACCAACAATCGCTGCAGAGACTTCAGAGATTCAAATACCTTGGATGTTGGATTACACAAAATCTAGATCCATCCTTCGAAATTAGATGTAGAATTGAACAGGCAAGAAACTCATTTCAAAAATTCAAGCCTCTATTATTAAATAACTCATTAAATTTGGAAATCCGTGAAAAGTTTACAAGATGTTACGTGTGGTCTGTACTTTTGTATGGATGTGAAACTTGGACTTTAAACGCCGATATCATGAATACAATCGAGGCGTTTGAGATGTGGTTGTATCGAAGGATACTAAAAATTCCATGGACTAGCAGAACCATAAACGAAGAAGTTCTTCGAAGAATGGGACATCAACGAACTCTATTAAATATTATTAAGATGCGTAAACTAGAATATCTTGGACATATAATCAAAGGACCAAGATATGAGTTTCTTCGGCTAATTCTCAACGGTAAAATCGAAGGAAAGAAATGGATAGGACGGAAGAAACTCTCTTGGTTGAGGAAATTGCGGCAGTGGACAGGTTTGACAGCGGACCAATTGCTACACGTAGCGCAAGACCGAGATCAGTATAATAATATTATAAGCATGGTAATCGCCGACGTTCCGTAGGGACATGGCACTCTAAGAAGAAGATCTTCGTACGTCGTGTTAGTTGTTTTGATTTTATAAGGTTTTGGAGGGCAAAAAGACATCTGTTGCCGGTGTGAATCCTGTTGTTTATTTCTTGTGATCCGTTATTGTCTTCAGTTATTGTTGTTCCAAGATACTTGAATTCTCTAACGCGCTCAAAGTTAAAGTCATCGATGGTGATGTTTTGACCGATTCTGTCTCTGCTTTGGTTATTGCGGCTCACATACATATATTTCGTCTTGTTTTCTTTGATTTGGAGCCCCATCTTCTCTGATTCCTTCTCGAACCCCACGAAAGTCTCCTTCATCCTTAATCGTGTGTTTCCTATTAGATCGATATCGTCTGCAAATGCCAGTAGTAAGTTTGGTCCTTCTCGATGAAATACTGTATTAGGTTTTTCGATTCTTGCACTTCTGATTATGTGCTCCAGAGCTAGGTTGAAGAGTTGTGGTGAAAGTGTTCTCCATGTTTTAGTCCATTGTCTATTTCAAATGTCTCCGAATATTTTTGTCCAACTCTCACCTTACATCGTAACCGTTCCATACACATCCGTATCAACCTGAGTAGTTTTTTTGGAAAGCCAAGTTCCTGCATCGCTGTCCACAGTCTGTCCCTCCATACTGTATCAAATGCTTGTTTAAAATCTATGAACATCTGATGAAGCTTACGATCAAACTCCCAGCATTTTTCCATTATCTGTTTTATTGTGAATATCTGGTCAATAGTAGAGCGGCTCGGTCTAAACCCGCATTGATAATCTCTAAAGATTTCTTCTGTATATGTTCCCCCCTAGACATGGGGGTTGTCAACGTGAAACTACTCCTGGACGGTATCTGTATGTGGTAGGAGTAGCTCGTTGAAATGTGCGTGTAATATGTGGGCCTTATAAAATATTCACAAAATTACTGTATGTGACCAATCTTTGAGGAATAGATTATATGAAACTGACTTGCATGCTAGACGTTCATTGAGGGTTCCAATCACTGAAATCGTGGACTTAGCTTAAGGTGGGCACAAGAATATGTGAAGCGAGCTTAAAAGAATGGAGTTCTGTGTTATTCACAGATGAAGTTAGGTTTTGTCTCTACCCTAATTAAAGAAGAGTGAGATTTGGAGACCTGGTCGAAAACAGAGACTCAAGCAAGTACAGGGTGCTCGTCCATAAATTGGTCTACAAGTTATGATGTGGGCTGAAATAATTTTTCATTTTCGAACAGTTTCCGTTTGTATTTTCTACTTTCTAAACCAAACAAATTAATTTTCATTATTTGTATTTTATTTGGTACTTCTGCTGGCATATATATTAAAATTTTTGATAAGTAGAACACTGGCAGACTGTTTATGTATGCAATAATAATTGCTGCTACATCTCAGCTGGTCATCTGCTCTTATCGCAGCGAGAAAAATATTTTCAATCTTTTTATATAAAATAAGGTGCTCCGGGGTAACTGGGACCAGGGGGTAACTAGGGCATAGGTAGTTCTTATCCTTATTTGTAGAAATTTCAAGTTTAACACGTTGGCACACCTTCTTCTTCACTACTTCTTACTTGAACAACAGTCCTAACCTCATTTGAAGGCATTTTGTTTCTTAAAGTTGATTCAAAATTTAAGTGAAGAAATCTTCAGTTTAAACGGCCTGCTTAAGTGATATTTACAGTTTTTCGCATTAATGTGGTGAGTATTTCTAACCCATTAACTACTTTAATATAAAAATAAACAATGAAATATTCTTGTAGTTTCTATAACAGGGGTGTTCCAGTTACCCCAAGAATTTTCATAATATGGGGTAAATGGGATAGAGGGTTGGGATAACTGGGTCCTGAGGAACCCAATTACCCCAAGATATTTATAAAATATTAAATGTAAGTATGTGTATCTGCCTGTTTGTCTGTATATTTTTATAACCTGATTGTAATGGAACTTTGAGTGTTTGAAATACTTACTATTGAACTCAATAACTTATGTACTTAATAAGTAAAAATTCAAATTAAAACTTGATTCATACTTAAGTACATAACAATTACAATATTTTTTTCTTTGTTTCAGGCTAAGCTATGGTACGAAATTACCAAAGAAATCTCAGAAGGGGGCTGGTCTGTCCTACGCGGTCGAGGATCTTGCCAAAGCTGCAAATGATGTGAAAAATGGGAACAAAACTGTTCGTGGAGCAGCCTTGTTTTACAAAATTCCTCGCAGTACTATTCAACATTATGTTTCTGGAACTCGGGGAAAGTACATGTCTCTCAAGGCTCAAATAGTGGTGGTAGAGCAGTGACATCTTATATTTCGGCTGCTGATGAAGAGGAACTTGCCAACGGGATAAAAGTTATAGAAAAAATAGGTTCGGTCTAACTGGAGAAGAGGTACTTGACGTTGTAAAATGTTATATTGTCCAGAACAAACTTAAAACCAGATTTAAAAACCAGCGACCTAGCCCATATTGGTTTATTTCATTCCGTAAAAGGAATCGTCTTTCAATAAAGTTACCTCAGAGCATTGAACATTCTTGATATGATCAGACTAATCCTTGGGTTATTTATGATTTTTTTGATAAATGAACTTAACTCTTTGAGGATCTTGGTTTGAAAAGAAAGCCAAGCCCAGTATATAATTGTGACGAAACTTCTTTCTGTCACGATCTATCAAAAACAAGAGTTGTAGGCGCAGTTAATCAGAAGAGTCAACGAAAAACAAGTGCATCTGGAAGAGAAAACATAACAACATTACTGTGTGTTTTAGCAGATGGTAGGATGCTACCCAAACAGCAGTATCAATAAGTGAAATGTGTTGGATGGAAACTAAATTGTTTTTGAATTTGTTCAAATATGTATTTTTAACTAATATTGGTAATGAGAGACCAGTTTTGTTGCTTTCTGATGAACATTCCACATATATGTCAACAAACCTTATCCAGTTGGCACAATAGAATGACGTTACTATAGTAAAATTGCCACCTTATACAACACATGTGTTGCAACCGTTAGACGTGGCAGTATTTAAAAGCTTAAATAAAACAAAAGTGGGATAAAGAGCATTGTAAGTGGCAATGACAAAATCCAAGAAAGAAGATTCGCAAACAAGATTTTATATCTCTTTTAACAAAAGTGGCTCAAGAGGTTTCTCCCATGAGTATCATTTACGGATTTAGAACAACAGGCATATACGATCCTAACCCAGAAGTTAAAGGACCCAACAAGAAGGCCATTTCTGAGTCTGTTTTTAGTCCAACCGATTTTCAAAAATATAAGAAAGAACATGCCCTGAAATCTACGCAGTTGACCATAGATGCTGGACCATGAGCATGGATGAGCAGCTTATAATAGTTGATCCTGAATACGTTCTTAGGATAGAGGAGCTTTCAACAGTTGAACATGAACCTTTTTGCATACCAAATACTAACATATTAACAGTGGATTAGCCTTCGACAGCTGGACAAGAGCAGTTAATCGCACTTAACTCTGATCAACAAATGGAAGTCAATACAGAGCAATTTCCAACATTTGATCATGAAGTGGCATCAACATCTAAGCGAAAGACATTTGAAGAGCTCTTGTTGGACATTGTTAAAAATAACAACAGAAACCCAGAAAAGCCAAGAGAAAAGAAAAATATTGTCCACACTTGTGAAATAATAACCACACAAAAATACCTTGAAATGAAAGAGAATGAGAAGAAGGAGAAAGAAAAAGCTTTGCTTAAAAAGGAAGAAAAGCATAAAAAAATATAGAAAAAAGATAGAAAATCCCATATAGAAATAAAGAAAAATAAAGGAAAACTTCTGACTTTAATTGCTGGTGACTTCTGCGTCACTAAAGTTTTTGGAAAAACAGCAAATTGTTTTAGATTGTTTGTAGCAAAAGTCATGGAAAAAGAGAATAGAGGTTATAATGTTTCTTTCTTCAAAAGACACAACCAAACCATGAAATTCAAAGATACAGAAGAGGAGTCGTACATACGAGAGGGTGACGTTGTTAGAAAACTGAACAAGCCAACAACTGCAAGTTCTGCTCGCTACAACAACATGATAGGCTTTGCAGAAGACTTAAGTAACCTAACCAATATTCATAACCAAGTCAAATTACTTGACGAAAATTGTCAACATACATTATAATACGTTTATTTGACCATCTCATACTTATCAAGTTAGAGTAAAATACTTACTTAACCAACCACATTATGTTATATTTTTATAAGTTAAGTAACAATCTAATTTTGATAGCAATTTTATTATATAAGTACCATTTAAACATATTAAAACTTTTTTTATTAATTATTTGTTTTTATTGCCTAGCTTTTTTACCAAGTTTCCGACCTGGCGCCAATACAATGCTCTTAACATGAAATGTCTGAAAATGAGGTAACCAATATTTTTTTCTTATCAATTGAATGTACAATAATAGATCCAGATACCCCAAACAGTTGATGCAATGCTTGTATACAATTTACTCTGGGGTGATCCAGTTACCCCAAAGTCGTGGAGCAACTGGGGACCATAAAGCCTAAGTACATTACATGCAACGTGACAGGCTAGTATAGTTATTAATAAATCATTATACAGTGCTTTTCAGATAAAACTATCCACCTTAAATAACTTTTGAACCTCTAATTTTTTGGAAAAACGCAAAAACAAACATTTTACTACTAAAAATTTTTACAATAATTGTTCAAAATGACTGCCTTTCACTTCCATACAATAGTACAATCTATTTTGAAATTCTTCTCTGATATTGCTTAACACGTCTGTATTTAATTGTCGACATTCATCCTCTATTCTTTGTTGTAAATCATCTAGATATTCTGGTTGAGTAGCCTAATTTTTGTTTTTAAATACTCCTATAAGAAGAAGTCTAGGGGTGTTCAATCCGGTGACCTAGGTGGCCAATCAATCATCTGTCGTCTTTTACCTATCCAAGGACCGGGAAACGTTTCGTTTAAAAATTATCGCACAGGTAAAGCAGAGTGTGGAGAAGGTTCATCATGTTGAAATACAACCAAATCATCGGAAAGGTTATCATCATTTGCTACTATTGTTCTAATGATCAACCACTTGCCTATATAATTCAAGATACGATGCACCATTTAAGTTTCCAGTGATAAAGAAGGGTCCGATAATGTGATTACGTAGGATACCACACCATACGTTTAACCTTTGAGGATGCTGTGTGTGAAATTCGCGTATAATATGTGGACCACTCTCAGCCCAGTATCGGCAATTATATCTGTTCACCAAACCGTTTAATGAGAATGAGCATTCATCCGAGAAGCAAATATTGTTTAACAATTGTGGATTGTTAATGATGCATTTTATCATTAATTCGCAACATTCGGGATGACGATCAAACTCTTCTTCATTTAACTCTTGTACTAATTTAATTTTATATGGATAAAACTTAAATTTATGGAGGACTCGGAAGGCTGTAGAAAATGAAACACCGATTGCTCTGCTTATTGTTGACAGTCACTGTGATTGTTAAGAGTCTAAGTTAACTTGCCCTAAAACAGCTACTTGGATTGCTTTTTTATTTACAAGTTCCTGTCTTTATGGGATATTTAACGGTTATGTTTTTTATTGCAAACTGACCATCTTGATCTAATTTTTTCTGCATCAGTTCAATCACACACTTATGAGTTGCATGTCTATTGTGGTGTGTTTCATTAAAAATTCTAGCAGCAGCTCTTGCACAATTATTATTTTTGTAGTATAAACCTACAATTTCGATTCTTTCTTGCAAAATGTACACCATTTCAGAGATCAAATTGCACACGTATCAAAATAAGCTGTTACTTACAAGTTATAACAGATTGTCACTATTAACCGATTAAAACAAATGTAAAAATGATATCGAAAACCTTTAATAAAACTTGAATAAAAAGTGAATTTTTTTTCTTGGTTTTTAAAGGTACTACAAATAGTACGGTTAAATATTTAAAGAGTTTAAATTATGCTACAACCTATTTTGTTAGAGTCAATTAAGGTGAGGGAGATACTGTCTTGTTAACAGGAAAATTGTCTATCTGATAAACTAATCACTTCAAGCCAAAGGTACTATACATTTTTGAAATCAGAACAAAAGGAGAATCCAAATATAAAACAAAAAAAGGGGGAAGTAATTTAAAAAAAATAAAGGGTTGAACAGGGGGTGAGAGGGTGCATTTTCCAGCAACCTTTAATATGATATTATGTCTCCCTCTTCAGATATTAATTCACGCGTTTTTGAGTTTTTTCAAAAAATTAAAGGTTCAAAAGTTATTTAAGGTGGATAGTTTTATCTGAAAAGCACTGTATATTTTTTGCAAATACCCACCAATGTTAGACTTTTCAAACAAAATTTGTTTAGTATGCATATGCATTTAAAGGTAACGTTGTAAAACCATGCCCCAGTTACCCCGGAGCACCCTACTCATATTTCAAAAATTGTCTACAAAAAATCCGTTTATTACAGGAAAAATTATTTTTTGAAATATTTGAAATCAGTAACCTTAAATTAGTTTAACGCAGGCATTTTTATAAGTATAACAAATTTTCTATTCTCCACTGTTTTCCTATTTAAAATTCCCATAGCAAAATCGATCTATTTAT